ACATATCTGAGTTTGTGTTCTGTGCATTTTTTTGTAAAATATCGATACATCACTTTGAGTTGGGTGTCTTTAATGGTAAAGGAGATTTTTCAATTTGACAACAAAAAATGAAAGGTATTCTTGTTCAACAAAAAGTTTCCAAAGCTATTGATGACTCTTTTCCTCAAACTTGACTAATGAAGAAAAAGAGAATATAGATGAACTGGCATACACTTCTATAATATTACACCTGTCTGATGCGGTATTAATAAAAGTTGGTAAATTAAAATTAGCTCAAGAACTTTGAGAAAAATTGGAGGAACTTTATTTGTCTAAGTCAACTCCAAACAAACTTTTTCTACTTGAAAACTTTTTTTGCTTCAAAATCGATTCTTCAAAAGATTTGGATAATAATTTGGATGTCTTTAATAAACTCATGCAAGATATCACTAACTGTGGTGAAAAAGTATCTGAAGAGTATAAGGCAATAATTTTGTTAAATGTTATCCCTGAAACCTATAGAGAAGTTAAAAATGTTATTAAATACGGGAGAGATACTTTAACACCTGAAATTGTTATAGACTCGTTGAGAAGTAAAGAAATGGAAATGAGAGCCGAGAGAGTCAAAATAAAAAGTGGTGAGGTTCATATAATGAGAAGTAGGTCTTAGTCTAGAACCCGTGATAACCAAAGTGGATACGCGTCTTGTAGTAAAAAGAAAAGTAGAAGTTTATCTAGGTCAAGAAGTAAAACTAAAGGTAGAAAATGCTATGAGTGCGGTAAAACTGGACATTTCATTAAAAATTGTTATGTTGAGGAAAACAAACAAAAGAAAAAGGTTCACGATGAGGCAAATGTTATTACTTCCTCTGATGAATCTTGTGAAGTATATGTGTTATTAAACTCTGAACCTGCTGAAGTAAATTTGACTTTGAAATCACATTTAAATGAATGGATACTTGATTATGGTGCATCATTTTATGTTTCATTACATAAAGACTGGTTTGAAAATATGTAATAATCTTAAGTGGTCATGCTATTTTCTACAATAATCCTGCATATAAAATTGTTGGCATTGGTGATATCACGTTAAAATTTGACACTAATTATGTGCTTAAATTACATAAAGTTAGATATATTTCTGAAATGACTACAATAATCATGCTTATAAAATTGTTGGCATTGGTGATATCACGTTAAAATTTGACACTAGTTATGTACTTAAATGACATGAAGTTAGATATATTCCTGAAATTGGTAGGAATCTTATTTCAGTAGGAGCATTAGAAACTGATGGTTTTACTAGAAAAATTGAAAACAACATCTTTAAAATGATTAAGGGTGTTATTGTCACATGTAAAGGTACTAAAAGAAATGGCATTTACGTGATCACTGCTGAAATTGTTAAAAATTCAACTTCCTCTATAAATTTAACGAACACTGATGACACACACAAGTGACACAATAGATTAGTTCACATAAGTATTAAAGAACTTAAACTACTAAATGATAAAGGAATATTTGGAAAAGACTGTGTGTCTAATATGCTTTTTTGTGATCACTGTGTACTTGGTAAACATCATAAGTCATCTTTTTCATCTGATACACATAAAACTACTAAAGTCTTGGAATATATTCATACTGATTTATGGAAGCTTGCTACTAATCTTACAATTGGTGGTAGTAGATATTTTATGCCCATAATTGATTATTACTCTCATAAGGTGTGGGTTTATCTGTTAAAAGATAAAACTGAAACCTTTAAAATTTTCAAAATATGGAAATTGCAAGTTGAAACTTAAACTGGCAAAAATATAAAATATCTAAGAACTGATAATAGCCTAGAGTTCTGTAATAATGATTTTGATGATTTGTGTGAAAAATGTAGATTACTAGACATAAAATAGTTCCTTATACACCTCAACAAAACGGGGTGGCTGAACGTATGAATCGTACTTTACTTGACAAAGGTAGATGTATGATGTTGAGTTCTGGAATTCCTAAATCTTTTTGGGGTGAAGCTGTTATCACTACATGTCATCTGATTAATTTGACACATTCTACTACATTAAATGGTAATACTCAACATAAAAAATGGTATGATAAATGTGCTCACTATACTATGTTAAAAATTTTTGGTTGTGCTACTTTCTATCATCAAAATGAAGGAAAACTAGAACCTAGAGTTAGGAAATGTGTTTTCTTAGGATACTCTGAAGAAGTTAAAGGGTATAGGCTTTGGGATAGAAGTCAAAATGGAGTTAAGATCATCATAAGTCGTGATGTTACATTTAATGAGTTTGAAATGCCGTGTCTAAAATTATAAAGTGACACCTCAAGAGAAAAACAACAAGAAAACATTATTGACAAATCTCAAGTAAATTTAAGGTCTTTAAGTGTTCAAATCCTCACCACCTCAATCGAGGTGGAGCATAAAAATCCTAAACTAGAAGATATTCAGAGTGAAAATATTGAGAGAGATGAGGTTATAGAGGAATATCAAGGAGAGCAAAACCATTTGTCTGATTATCAGTTAGCTAGAGACGAAGTTAGAAGAACACATAGGGTGTCTCAAAGGTTAGAGTCTGATTTTGAACTTGTTTATGCTATTTATGAAGAACTAGTTGATAGAGAACCAAACACATATGAAAAAGCCTTAAGGAGTAAACAATCTGAGGATTGGATGAAAGCGATGAAAAAAGAAATAAATTCCCTCGATGAAAATCAAACATGGAAATTAGTTCTAAGACCTAAAGACAAGTCAATAATTGGGTGTAAAGAGTTTTTAAAATTAAGGAAGGAATTACCAAAAGTGAGGGTTTAAGGTTTAAGGCTAGACTTGTGGCCAAAGGTTACACATAAAAGAAAGGGGTAGATTATAATGAAATCTTTTCTCCAGTTGTTAAGTATACCACAATTAGGACTGTGCTTGCATTAGTTGCACATTTCAATTGGGAACTTGACCAACTTAATGTTAAAACTGCATTTTTGCATGAAGAACTAGATGAAAAGATTTTTATAGATCAACCTAAAGGTTTTGAAAATAAACAAAAACCTGATCATGTGTGTTTTTTTGAACGCTCTTTGTATAGTTTAAAACAATATCCTAAATAATGGTACAAAAGTTTTGATTCGTTTGCTAAAACAATTGGTTTTAAAAGGAGTAAATTTGATCATTACTTGTACTATCAAGGTAATGCAAACAATAATAACTGTGTGTTTTTGTTGCTATATGTGAATGTTATGCTTTTGATTGGTCCCAACTTGAAGCTGTTAAATGATGTAAAAATTACTTTAAATAATGAATTTGATATGAAAAACCTAGGTAATGCTAAAAGGATCTTATGCATGAAAATTCAAAGAGATAGGTCTAAATCAATTTTATTTTTACATCAAACTCCATATATTATTAAAATTTTGAAGAAATTTGGCATGAATGAATGTAAACCTATTACGTTACCTTTAGCTAATCACTTTACATTATCTAAAGAACAATCACCTGCTAATGAAGAAGAAGAAGAATATATGAAACGAATTCCATATACAAATGTCATTGGTTCCGTGATGTTTCTAATGGTGTGTACTAGACCTGACTTAGCCTTTGCTGTTAGTACACTTATCAGGTATATGTCCAACCCGGGTCTCAAACATTGGGAGGCTTTGAAATTGTTGTTTAGATATTTGAAAGGAACATGCAATGTTGGCTTAATATATAAGTTTGGTATTGAAGGAGTAAAATTGAAAGGTTTTACTGATGCTAACTATGCTAGTGATAGAGATAATAAGAAATCTATATCTTCCCACATGTTTACTTTGTATAATTCATGTGTTAGTTAGAAATCACAATTTCAACATGTTGTTGCATTATCCACTACTGAATCAGAATACATTGTTGCTACTGAAGCCTTTAAAGAATCTTTGTGGTTTAAAGGTGTATTAAATGAACTTGGTGTTTTTAAGGATAATGTGACAATATATTCTAATAGTCAATCTGCTATTCACCTATGCGAAAATCCTGTCTTTCATGAATGTACTAAACATACAGATGTTAGATTGCATTTCATTATAGATATGATTTTTCAAGAACTGGTAAAATTTGAGAAAGTCCTTTCAGAATATAATCCTTCATATATGAGAACTAAGGTGCTCTCATTGGTAAATTTTAGAAACTGCCTTGATCTTCTAAATATCGGTACAAACTTGTTAGTCTCTTCCCTTAAGCTATTTGTTATCTTATCTGACTTGCAGGATGATTTGACATCAAGGTGGAGGTTGTTGGGCATGTTTGGTAAGTGATGCCCAAATCCCGTAGGTGATGATGAAAAATCAAGGTCTGTTTTAACTTCATAGGCTATAAGCTCAGGATTGAAGAATTAAATCTATACCACAATTGAAGTAGCTCAATTAAGTTGGATATTTAGAGTTAATCAGTCCATTGGGCTAGATATTCAATACCTAACTTAAGAGTAATTTGAAAATCACAAGAAAGATAGATAAATATAATCGATATCTTTCTTCAACCACCTTATCTCGTCTTGGATGAGCTCTATCTTTTAGTTAACATAATCTTTCAGATTTTTTATCCTAATCTTGCAAGATTTTTGGAAAATCCGTTCTCCCCACTGAGCCTATAAATTGGAGCCTTCACCCTTCATTTTTCTCACACTAAAAACAAGAGAAATTCTCCTCTTGCTTAGTGCAAAACAAATCCCCGTCTGTCTTCTTTGTGAAATTGTCTTTGTGAATGATAATGACATTCAAATTGAAGATACCTTTGTGGTGTGGATCGAGTTTCTGAGTCGAATTAAAAAGGGGAAAATCGTTCTTCAATTTTTTTCAGTTTTCGGTTTTTACTTTCTTGAAGTTAATCTTTGCAAATCCTTCATTAATTGGTTCTTTTGGTTGATTAATAGGTGGGTTTGCTTCACACAATCGAAACTAAACACAAAGTTGAATGACCACGGGGACAAAAAACTCTCAAATTTAAGCGCAACTGGGACAATTAACTCTCAAATTTAATGTCAACTTGTGATCGATCGCCTAGCATATTAGCTCAAGCCCATAGCTCTAAAACATCTCTAATCTGTATCCCCCACAGAATCCATAATCTCACCTAAATGAAATCTCAAACCCAATTCGGCAATTCCAATTGCCTTCTCCATCTCCAATCTCTTTTTTAATGCAATATTCCCAATTGACAATGTTAAACCCTAAATTTCCTTCCGAATCCCCATCCCTACGCTGACGCCCTCTACGAAGTTCTGCTCAAAGGTGCTGAAAATGTCACTTCTGTTCTTGAAGAAATGGTCAAGCTCGTAAGTCCCATTTTCTTACATCGGAGGAATGGAATTTCAATTTCGATATCATTTTCGTTTCTATTTCTTGTTGTCTTTTGCTTATTTCAAAAGGAATGTTTTATTTATAAATTATATACTATTAACCGTTAATTTACCTAGTTCTGTGAACTCTATATTACTTTTTGCGTGTTAATTTTGTTCTCACTGTTAAATATTATGTTATCTTTTGATGTATGGACTTGTGGTTGTGGGCAGCTTCCCCGATTCCCGTCCTGATTCATGTTCCGTTCCGTTCAGCGAAGAAGATGCTCCAATTGCTGGCTACTCTGGTAGAAGAGAAGCTACAATCTACTTCCCTTAGTAAGTTAGCGCCTTTATCTCGCTACTTGAATGTGTATATTTGTATAATAGTATGTAAAAGAAGAAATAGAATCTCCAAATTAAAACATTGGGTTGAGGTGATTGCGTTTTGCTTTATGAATTGGGATTTTCTGAATACTTCATCTTTTAATCTGATTGATGGTTATTCATTGCTAGATCGTGGATTGCTTCACACTTGATTTCACGCCACTGAGTTACACCTTTAGCAAGTTCTATGCTTGTCGATACTAATTTTTTTTCGGTATATTTATTATAAATTTATATTTAAATTAATTGTTGAATTGTCGGCTTATTACTGAATTATTGTTGTTTTTTTGGCTTATTATCGGATAACTTGAAGTTGTTATTGTCTTGTTGGCTTATTGTTGAATGTTGTTGGCTTAGAGTCTGTTTGTGAGTGATTTTGAGAATTGATTTTTTGACCGTTAAGAGAAAAGTGAGGTCCACCTGTGAGAGAAGAAGTCAAATATAATGGCTAGAATAGTGAAATAACGGTCAAAAAATCACTCCCAAACAAGCTGTTATTATCTTTTTATCTGAATTTTTGAATTGTTGACGTATTTTTGAATTTTTGATTAACTAATCTAATTTAATTAAAACAAAAATATTTTTTAATTTAATTGAAAACCACATATTTTTACTTTTTTTTTTAAATGAAAACCATTAGAAATAAAAAGCTATATATATTTTTTTATTTAATTGAAAAAAGAGCAGCTAAAATTTATTATTATTATTTTTTAAAATTTTCGGAACATTGAAAAAAAATTCACGTTTTCAACATAAAAGAAATTGGTACTTTACGAGACTCAAAAGAGCTGAACAATGTCCAAATCATCATCTTCAAGGTGGTACCGTTATGGTTGAAGAGAAAACAAGTGAAGGTGAACTGCTGCAATTGAATTCTCTTAAATGACTGATTCAATCAACATGAACAAAACTGATCACGAATCTTGCAAATAGTGCCCAAAATTTTCTCCTTTTTTTCTTTTTCAATCACCAAAGAAAACTGAAAAGAAATAAACTACGGATATATTGGGATTATGGTATTATTGGTAGGCTTGGATATGAAATTTGTGCATCATGGGCTAATAGGTGTAGTCAATGAGTATGTATAGAAGGAATAATGGACTGTTGTGCTTGGGGACTCTGGCTTTGGTTTTAGTTTCGAAGTGTGGGTTGGGCTAATGGTTAAATAGGTTTGGGTTGAGGATCAAGTTGGTTTGTGGGGTGGCCTATTTGGGGCTTTATTAAACAAATAGACAGCTGCAATTATGAAAAGCAGAGAACAAAATGAAATTGATTTTTTAGCCAATAATAGCTACTGCAGAACAAAAAGCAAGTTGCTTGTTCTGACTTTTTTTAAGAACTAGAACATAAAAGAGGAAAAAAACTGGGAACAAATTCTACTGTTGCATGATTATTCTGGCACTTGGTTTATGCTTGTTTTGTGAGTATATGAGGGTTTGGACGTAGGGGTGGTGGCTGATTGAGGGTGAAGAGATTGGATTTCAAAAATGAAATTTGTTTGGTCGAAGGAAAAAAAACTTGCCCTTATATCAAATTGACGTAGGATTGCAATAATTTGACAATGAACAATTGAAAAGGGAACAATAAAGAGAAAGGGGGTCCAAGAAGAAGAAATTAGGGTAAGAGAAAATCGATGTATTCATATATTCGAGGTTGCATATTACAAGGAATTGCAATGGACTATGAGAGAGAATAAAAGACAAAGCCCCCTGGCACCTCTCGGACATCTCGGCCAAAACCAGATTCATAAGAAAGATCCTTATAAAGATGCCACTGCCACCGAACCGGTGAAGACCCATTACTATTCACCGAAGGTTAAGGCTTGGTACTCCATATTGATATTGTCGGGGCACCCTTCTTTAGGGTATGACCTAGAAGCCAAGCAAAGACAACCTATCTTGCTGCTAGGAGTGCCTACCCAATAGCGGAGCAGCAGCTAATCTGAAATCGAAAAAACTACTAATAAACTAGAACTTTATCAAATTATGAAAACTAATCTAATCTAATCTAATTAAAACAGACATACTTCGAAATTTTAAAATCATATCCAAACTGTATTTTTATCTCCATCGATGACTATAAAAAATGCATGTTTTGCTTAGCTTATTGCTAAAATATAAGCCAATTTTTTGAATATGTTCCTGTAATAACAATCTACATGTTGAAAATTACATTTCAGCCATCCCTTCAACATCACAGCCTCTAACAGACTAACACCAAACAAAACAAAAAAGAAGGAACTGTAGATCAGGTTACAAGATAATTGATGATCACTACATTACGACGAGTCAAGTAGCAGAATCCATGGAATTTGTAGCACCGGAGTTGGAATCGTCTGTTATTGCAGATTTTTTAATAAACTCTATACAGTCTGCAACAGCTTCACTATATTGAGGATCATGTACTGTGTAGTAAGGCATCTGCACATCTGTGGAAGATCGACTATTATGTTGAGCTTTAGAGAGGGCAGAAAACATGATCAACTTGAAAACGGCCTCTCGAAAACGATCAAGCAATGACATAGGCGATAACCGATTGCTTTTTCTTGTGTAGCCAATACCTCTGAGCTTAGGCATGCAAAAAGGGCTCCTTCTTCTACCTTTGGATTCCTCCATATTTTCCCAGGACTGTTGATTCAATGATGTCTGAGAGTTGAGAAGAAGAATCTATGACCAAGCAAAGCACATGATATAAAGTATAGATAAATGAGGACTGGCCAAATTATTGCTATGGGAGTTTTTTTTTTATGTCCATTAATTATTTTTGGTACATGGTTGGAACCATGAAACTGGAAACAGATAATAATTTTCTGTCAAAAATTTGCTTGAAATGAGGGAATAAGTTGAAGTCAATACTGAACAAATAAGTTTCCTTAATATTTGTTCTTTTTGGAGTCTTGTATTGTGCAATGACAGCTTAACAAGATTCCTATTTTATATCTATAGTTTGACTTAATTCTTTGGATCACATGCTCTTCAAAACAAGTACAAGAATGAAACTATTACTGCCAGATAATTCCCCCTGTATGCTGGATAACATGGACATAAACTGTTATTGGTTTAGTTGAATTGCACCTGGTAGCCGCTACTGCATTGTTGACTCACTTGATCTAAAAACTTATATATATATATATATAACGCTCTCGTGTAGACCGTCATATTCAAACGAGTACACAATTTTCTTAAATTAATCATTGTAAGATTTAGCACGTGCTCTATACAATGTTGCTAAGTGGTTTTCGAGAAATTAACCTCTGAAGTCTATTGATTAGTCATATCATTGTATTTATACACAAGTAATCTAGTTGAATCGCACTACTTATACAACTAAATAGACCAAGAGAGACATATTCTACTTCAAAAATTGTTGTAATTATAATTAAAAATTATTAACAAGTTACCACACAATGGTCTGGAATTTCTGATGGTATCAAACTAGCACAATCTGTTCTTTCTAGATATCTTCATTGAATGCCAAAAGTATTTACTGCAAATATCCTATATTTTTCATCAATAGCGATAATAAAGGAACCATACCCTTATTGATATTTATAATTATATTCTATCAGATCATTGACTCTACCTTAAAAAATCAATCTTGTAAAAAAATAGCTCAAACCCTTAAAAGTTTGTTATTTGTTTTATTTTATTTCCAACCAACTTGAGATATATGAATTTTCTTTTTGGCAAAGGAAAGGGGCGCACAAGGGTAAATGGGGATAGGATGTTAAATGAGTAGAGTCGAACTACTCAACTTGTCCATCGTTAGGCACGGCTTGGCTCAGCTCGGCTCAGCTCGATCCACCACACGAGTCACCTCGCACTCGCATATCGTTTTCGCGAATATCATGAAAATAATTTTTAATAAGGCATTTTAACAGAAAATTAATGAAGTGGAGGTCATTCACCTTGGCCATTAAGTTTCGCTATAGTGACATTTCTCCTTAACACGACTAGATTGAAAGTAAACGCCCCAAAAAAATATTATAAGAATATTGGTTCCCTTAATGGGAAAATTTTCTTAAATATTAAATACTGCTCATTTCAAAACTAAGAAATAAAATTTAAAACTTCAAAAATTAGATATAAATTAAATTTTATCTATAAAATAATTAATTAGAAATATATTTTATAAATTAAATATATTAAGGCCACATTTCCATACAATTTGGTCCAATTATCAAATTAATTGGTTACAAATTATTTTTTGATCACAAATAAAAAATTTTACAAATCACAAATTATTTCATAATAACAAATCAAAAAATTTATAAGTAACAAATTGTTCATCAGCTACAAATAAAAAAATTCATAAGTCATAATTTGTTCATTAGTCACAAATCAAAAATTTATAGATCGCAATTTATTTGTCAGTCACAAATCATAAATTTTATAAACAACAACTTATTACACAGCCACAAACTAAGGGCTTGTTTGAGCCACATTATTTTTAAAAAAAATTACATTCTTCAACAGTAATTTGATATAATTTCACCAACACATTCTTCAATAAAATAATATTACATGTAAATCTAAAAAAATTTCTTATTTTTTAACCACACATTTCTCATTGATTTGACATAAATAATGCATTTTTTCCTATAATGTGGCTCAAACATGGGCTAAATTAACAAATTTTAGGTCACACATTATTTATTGGTCACAATTTATCCATTCCATTGGTCACATATTGCTTATTGGTCACATGTTAACCAATTCGAGGAATTATCCAGATTTACCCTATATCTAGTGGACAGAAAGGAGATGCAAGCTAGGCGTTTTGAGCGTAGACTAAGAATTGGCATTAGGAAAGCAGTGGCAGTATTCCTAAATTGGGTACATATTAGGGAGTTCTAGAGAAAGCTCAAGTATATACCTTTGATGATGACGAGATTGGTAAAGGTAGTAAAGACTGACTCCTTAGACAAGCACAAATGATTGACAATAACAAGAAGAATGGAAAATTCCGCAGCAAGGGAATGGCATAAACAGATGCCAACGTCAATGACAATAATCAATGAATACTCTGTCCTAAATGTCAAAAACTTCATATGGAATAATGCTTGGCAAGAAAAGGTGTATGTTACAGATGTGGTAAGCCAAGAGACGTCGTCAAAGACTGCACTGAG